GGTTAAAATATACCATAATATACATAAAGCTTTATTGTTTCTTTAGGTGGTTGTTTTTGTTGTTTTAATCTAAAGTGGCATATTTTCTAAAGTCCTCAACAACTGTTTACAATTTAGAATTAAATGTGCTTTCTGCTTATACTAGTGCTGCTGAAGAAATGTACCTAACAGACCTGTCACTTTTTTGTGCAATTGTTTCTGTGGCATTGTTTTCATTGGTAAATGTACGAGCTGATAGAAAAGGAAATCATTAGGTGCTCTCAGTATTGCTGAGGCATGGAGCTAGGACAGGTCAGTCACTGCGTTTTGCAGATTGTGACATTTTAAATTACCTGTACACTACTGGAAGCAATCTGTGGACCTAATTAACATCTCACCCAATTAATGTCCAGACTGTATATAGAGAATTCTAGATAGTTTTGCACTGCCTTTATTTATTAAATACCACATTATTCAAATTTGCTATCTTTAATTTCAGTATTGAAAACTTCAGATTTGTGTGCTGTTTTCTTAAGTGGGAGTAACTTCTTTTTTTTTTTTTCTCCTTCAAGTAATCAATGCACTGCTGAATGAGTTCATTTTAATGCACTCAATCATGCCTCTAATGTTTGTAGCTTACGGGCGCAAGCATCAGTAATGCAGGAATGTTATATGGCTTTAGTTTGGACCATTTCATAAAATATTCATGGAATCAAAAATGTGCATCAAAATAACGGCTGGGAGAATTACATTTATGTGCCTGCTTTTATGGCAGCTTCACATTTAAACCCATTTGTGTTAATATCTAGTCAATCTTTCTACTTAAAAAAAAAAAAAGCAAAATAGTAGTCTCCATATATACCCCTTTTGGTTTGATATCTATTTTGATATAACAAATGTATACTTTTGGGGTGGGTTTTAGGAAGGGGAATTATAAAGGAAGTTTTAGATAATGTAAAAACGTTTCTCTCCAGTCTTTACAAAATTACATTGAGTTCTTTTGCTTGAATGAATAGATTTATTTTTTTGACTTCTAAGTAACTCAGTGAAAACTGTAGCACAAATCTTTGTGCATACATATGTAGTTGCTATGAAAATAAGAGTAATTTCTAAAATTTGATACTGTTAGTGGCAGAGTAATGTCTTATATAATTGTTTAAAACTGATTCTTTGTCACAATATAATTTTGGGAGTAATGTTCACCTCCCATATTTAAGATTAAACTACTGCTGATAGGGTTTCTTTTGTTACGCCCTGAGCTACATTAAACTATAACATTTTAGTAGTGGTAGTATATATGTTGTAGAGAGTTGCGTTTCTGTTTTTTTTGATTCCTTTCTATAAACAGGGAAGAGATATCAGAGATTCTCCAACTCCATTTGGTATACACTGAGCTAATTTCTGCATGGCAGTGGGAGAAGAAATATGCGATTACTGTTAATGTTGCCAACTGAAAATAGCTATACTGCTTTGTGTAACATTTTGCAAATTTTTCAAATATGGATTTCCTAGAAATACCTTCTAGATTTTCTCTTTGAATTCCTAGAGATATAAAAGATACATTTCTACAAACTATTCCAAGTTATTTTCCTACTCATTGTTTTTCCTCTCATTTTGTCTTTTTTTTTCTCTTCTTTTCTTTCAGTTGATAATAAAAGTAATTTAAAACTTTGCCTTGTCGCTGCTCAGGTGAGATAAAAATACTCTTACTCTCAGAAATGTTCTGTAATTGGCTTATTACATTCTTTCAACATTTTTCAGGACTTTCACACAGCGTCTACCTGTGTCTGCGTCTAACCGTTGCGGTAGTTCAGTGTTTAAAAATTGGAATGCACTGGCCAGATCAATTCCAACTGAACCAACTCATGACAGTGAATAAACTTGCCACCCCCCTAAAAACTTTGTTTTTCCACAACATTTGAGGTTCACGTAAACATTGTGGATTAAAGAAATAGGCTGATATGTCATTTGCCAGTGAGAACAAGGGATTTCAGATTATTTTGATGGAGGAATGAATTCCAAAATCTAAAATGTTTTACCTTCCATGAAATTGAGAGGTCTCCAAATAGCTAGTATTACTTGAGTCTTCAGTAAGCAAATTCCCAGCCATGTAAGGGCTTTCAGGTCAGGAATTCAATCTCTCCCTCATTTAGGAAACTAGCAGGTATTTTATTTTTTTGCTCAGCATCTTCTTTTTGGTATTTCTGTGAGCAGATTGTATTACTTCTTACTTCATAATCTTTCTTGGTAGTTCAGTGAAGCAAAATGTAATTTAGTTCCATTTGAATACTACCAAAAAGATTATATTGCTTTTGTATTTTGGAGCTTGATGTAGATGGATTGTTTCTAAAGAGGTTTCACGGAGATCTGGCAAAAAGGATGTCAGGTCACAGCTCTTATGGTTAGGTCAACTCTTGAGAACTATGGGGTACGTGGAATATATGAGTTCAATTTCTAGTCTGACAGAAATTTTCTCAAGGGGATACTGCAAGTGAGGAAGCAGGGGTAAGAATTACCATACCTGATAGTTCTAACAATCTAAACAATAGTTCTGAAGGTTGCATGTATTATTTACCTAAATGATGTATCCCATTAAGAGATTATGTTACAGAGTCTTAGGAGAAACTCAGATACTGTGTTCAGCTTCAAATTATGTATCCAGGTGATACCATTCATTTGTTTGCTGCTTCCCAGTCTTAGTAGTTTTTGAGTTACACGTGAATCCAACTCTATTATTCTAAAGAATCCATTACACATGTAATGAAACTAGATCACTTGAATGTATGGCAATATCCTTTCAAAAGGACAATCAGTTGATTAATAAACTTTGGGGAGAATTTCAAGGAGGAGTCTGTATGTGCTTATGAGTATCCAAGTGGATAAAATGCTAGATCTAGCTACTAACATTAAATTTCAACTCAGCTTTACATCATTTGTCACAAAGCCAACACCAGCTTCTTCAATTAATATCTTAAATCTGCGTTTAGCCACTTGGATAACTGGAATTCTGTTGACTTCTGAGTTAGACTTGCCCTAAGAAGTTAGCTGGACTGTATAGGCAGAAACCCAAATTCAAATTGGAAGCTGCTTTAGAATCGACAAAAGTTTTCATCTGAGTTTAGCAAGTCTACATCTCTATTTCCTGTTACATGTACTGTCAGTGAATCCTTAAACAGCTTGTACTGGTCATGAGAATTTCACTTTGGATTTCTGTTTGTACAGTCTGATGTCAAGTATGTGATATTTTGGAAAAAAATAGATCTTTTCCTGTCTGTTTACAGGATCTGATAGCTACTCTGGCAATAAGATTTTTTCCAATGTTTTGGGCCATGTCTCTGATACCTGTCCCTAGCTAGAGTGGAACTGAATAAAGCTTGCTGTCTCCCCTTTCACCTGGCACTTCACTCTTCAGCACTTTTTGTTGTGTCCTCTGGGACTCTTAATGAATCCTAGGTTGTAGAGCCTTAAAATGGTTTGTCTGTGAAACTCATTTAATTAGTTGCTTCTTTGAAAAAGAAGTTTCTTGTGCTTGTCAATTTCAGTTGAACTCATTTTAATCATCAAAGAAGCCTAATATGAAAATAAATTTAATTCTAATAAAGATAAGAGTTATGTTTTGTATTGCAAAGTTGAAAGCATGGTTATAAAAGGGTAACACGCAAAAGACAAATCTAAATTAAGTTAATAAGACAAATCTGTCATAGCTGTTCTGCTGCCTCTAGGTTGGCTGGAGGCCTGGGGAACTAGCCCCGTTTTTCTCTGAGAATGCTTAGAGAAGGTCCTTCTCCAAGCTTCTCTCCCTTCCTTTCCCACAATTGGGAACAACTTTTCTCCTTCCTGGTTCTTTTCGTAATTTGAGTGCAGCACTGTAAAAACAGTCTGCAGAATAGTAATTGTTCCTTATAAGTCATGTTTCAAAGAGGTGTAAACTGCAAACACATCTAAACAAACTTAGTTTATGGTTTGTTTCAGCTTTTAATAGAAATAGCAATTGTTATATTGACGATCTATGGGACAAGATTCCTGCATCACACACACACATTCACAGTTCCCCCCCCCGCTATAGAACATTCTTTGTAAAGCAAGGTACTGTGACCAGAATGCTTTTTTTTGTATGTAAATGGTCTCACCTCACCTGCCTCCCAGCAGTTTTTCTGTACCCATTATGTGTAAGGAAAAGCTTTTCTGTTCTTTCAAGGGGCTTTGAATTTCCGTTGTCCAGAAAGCATGGAAATCTCCTAGATTGCATGTATACCAGAGAGAAATCTAGCTGAAGGTAGAGGGGAGGGAGGAACTACTTGCATGTTGAAATGAATTGAACTTGTATATTCAAACTTTCCTTTGTCTGCCTTAAAGATGTTTGAGTAACTTAGATTTGAAAACCTTAAAGTGTATTATTTCAGGCTCAATAACTAATCTATTAGTGGCTAATGCTCTTCCAGTAAACTTACTACATAAACTCACCAGACTTGGCCTAGTAACAACTGTTGAATAAATTACCTTGCATAATAATTCTTTTTTCATCAATTAATTTATTTGAATAAAGATTGATTATTTTTTTCCCCCCACAGTTTTTATACCTCTATTTTCCACATTTCAAATCTTTCAGCACAGGTTTTCATTATGGAAAAAGAAACTTGAGGAACAGTTTGAATTGTGATTATTCATGCATAGATGTGATTTTGAAATGAGATCCACAAAGGCTATGTTCATGAATCTATAATAGATGTATTTTCTAGAAAATTCTGACTTTGCATCCTTGGGATCGCACACCCCCAACATTGTGAATCTACAAAGGAAAGCTAATTCAAAATGTGATCAGTTTAAATTACAACATTACTGGTAATTGTGAGATTTGGCAGTATTTTTCAGTGATCTGTAAGCTATATGTTGAAGATTCTTGAAAAATCTGTGAAATGATTGGCTGCAACTTACTTTCTAAAGAGAAAATTATTATAGACTAAAAACTTTTAAAAATTTTCTTGATTACACTGATTGTAATTACAAATTACATTTTTCAGGTCATGTCATGAAAGCTGCTGAGCATTATGAAGCATTTTATCAACTAACAGAGGGTTCAACATGGAAGGATGAGACAGGCCATACTTACAATTCACTGGCATGTGAGCATCTCTGGAGAATTTATACATTACTAGCAGACAAAATGCTAGAAAATAAAGAACACCAACAGGCCATCAAAACGCTAATAAAAGCTTTAAAAATGGCAAAAGAAGGTAGGTGGAAAATAACACTTTCGCATTCCTTTATTTGATGTGCATGCCATGATTTTCCCAAGAGTGAGGTAGAAATTGTCAAGTGTTTGACTGGGTGATTATTTCCTATGAAATTCAAAGACAAATGCTATCAATACTCTTCCAGATCTCACTAAAGCAGAAATGCCTTCTTGCTGACAACAAAGAATTTTTTTAGATTCCTGAAAGCTTTATCTCCAAAAAAACAACCTTGTGGTAATAATAGTATAAAACAGTGAACCCATAATCAGAAAGTGAGGTCACTGATGGAAGCTCAGCTCACTGATTTTGATTGGCTAGTCACTGTTGATCTGGCAATTTTTGAATGATATTATCTGCTGGATCACTACCTTTTCACTTCTACATAGTTATTTCGTACTTGCAAAAAACAGTTTTCTATCATAAGTGAACAAGATTTCTTCTGTATATCTTAATACATGTAAACACTTTGAAACCTAAAATAAAAAAAATGGCAGAATAGCAGAATAGCTGATGTAGGAAGAGAGATCATCAGGGTCAGCTAAAGCAGGCTCCCCAGGACTACATCCAGTCAAGTTTTTAGTATCTCCACGGGTAGAGACTCCATAACCATTCTGGAAAACATTTTCCACTGTTCAAACACCCTCCCAATAAATAAGTATTTTGTTCAGTTCAGACGAAATTTGCCATTGTGCCCACTGCCTTCTGTTCTGTCACTGAGCACCACTGAGAAGAGCCTGGCTCCCTCTTCTTTACAGCCTCACATCAGAAATCTGTACACATTGATGAAATCCCTGCTGAGCCTTTTCTTCTGTGGTCTGAACAGTCCCAGCTCC